ATGAAGATGGGGCACCACGCACACTAGGGAGCTCCCTCCATGCGCTATGAAGCCTCCACTGTGAGGTACCATGGGCTCCAGCCACTCCCTGGCTGACAGGGGCACAGTGTGCCTTGAGATGGGGGAGAAGGCAGTCCTGAGCTGGCTGCTTCTCCATCTCCATTTGCCTCAGCGCAGGGGCTCTGCTGTAGCTGACTGGGGTGCAGAGTGCTGGGGCATAGAGTGCCTCAGCATGGGGACTTTGCAGTGCACAGAGACAGGGGAGCAGGCTTCATCCAGCTGGCAAGACCAGATAAATTGAGCACCACTGTTTTAGCCAAATATCTCAGTGGCCTAGGCAGTGGGAGATCCAGGTTCTAGATCCTCCTTATCAAGAAGGGGCTTGAACCTGCATCATTAGTTTCTCAGGAAAGTGCTCTAACCATGAGGCCATGGACTAATCAGAACTCCTGCCAGCCCTGCCATTGAAACTAACCCCTTGTGCAGCTACAAGAGGATGTTATATAAAGGAAGGGAACAAGCCAGTGGGCATATAGCTCAGTGAAATGGATACTGCCCTAGACAGGAGGGGTTCTAGCTTAGGATCTTGCCCATAATGAGGCAGACACTTCCCCAATAATCTCTATCCATTTTATCTAATGAATAATAAATGAAAGCTCCAGTGGGTCAGCTTCAAGAAGAGGGCTGGGGAAAGGCTTTGCTAACACTCAACCCAGGTCTGGTGCTTGGAGTGCTTTGCTGAAATTCAAGAGGTAAACTGTCTCTGCGTGTGGGTGACTTCGAACCTGGATTTTTTGCCCCTCAAGCAGGGTCTCCAACTACTAGATTACCAAGCTAGAATATATGGGGTGCTGACAGACGTGACAGTGGTGCTGACAGATGTGACGGTTGGTTGCTTGATTGGCCACTGAAAGCACACAACAGCCATGCACTGACAGAAGTGCACAGCAGAATGCTTTAAAAATGCCCAATCCAACCATAACCGGAACCCCATTATATGAGGGTTCAGATGAACGTGCTCCAAAGTGGAGCTCCTCCCCTAACATCTGTCAGTGCAGCTGGGAGCAGGGCTCAGCTGACAACCAAGCTCTGCTCCCCACACTGCCATTGAAATGGGAGTGGGGGGGAGGCTCCAATCCAGCCACCTCATCCTCCAGCACCAGCTAAGCAACTCCCAGAATGAGCTCCCTCTGCTCCCTCACCCCCTCCCCATTCTGAAGACAGCACCACACCACGGCTTGGAGAGGGGACAGGTGAGACGAGAGTAAGAGTGGCTGTAAAGATGTAGCCACTTTAAATTGTAGCTCATCGCCCAATCCCAGGGCTAGCTGTAATTCATGGTGCTGCCTGAAAAGTGCCATGAGTTACAGTGGAAAGTTGCATGTCTGTCGGTGCCCCTGATTCTGTTTCACTTCAAGGCAAAATAGAGTGCAAACTGTAATTGCTCAAGATGACAGTTACATGCCTGTGTATGTGCATTTTAAGGGCATAAAGTGAAATAGGATTTAGCCCCTACTGAAATTCCAGTCTACCACTTCATCACTAAGAAGACGGGGCAGAGGTGCACCTTACAGACTACGCAAAGTGCACCTCTGTGTTGGCTTCTGCCAGGCTTCAGGCTAACACAGCTAACAGCTTTTCATTGTTGAGCAGTATACCTTTACCACTTCAAATTCCTGTGGCACAGATGGCTTTTGCAGTGTGTACAGAAGAGCACTAACTCTGTGATATTTCAGATGAAAGTAGATAATAAATTCTGGAGTCTGGGACCCTCACAGAGAATGCATTGTCACTGAACTCTCTCTTTTATAAGAGACAACAGCTGGAGGAAGAAGTGAGGTAGGCTGGACTGTACCTCTGAAGGAACACCACTTGCTTATATTTATTGCAAGTCAAAATGGGTTATGACATGCTGAATCATACTGTACACATTTTCTGTTTTATCTCATACAATCCAAAGGATGAACATTACTGTGTGCTATTAAGGAGAGTCACAGGGGGAACATTAGGAGGCAGCAAGCCTCAAAAGACAAATTCCTTTTAGGACTCCTTTTTAATATTTGACTCCTTTTTGTTAATTGGGGGGGGGGGGGGGGCGTAAAATACATAAAATTACTTTAGCGTGGTGGAGTCTGCTCTGTTCTCCATCCCATGCTCCTTTAACCTTCCATGTCATGCATCCAGTTCTTGGAAAGTTCTTGGAAAGACTAGGTAACCACCTGTTCTTCCTATTCCTTTCCATAAGCAATTATAGGAAACCCTTGTTATTCATGGGTTCGGCATTCACGATTTCAAATATTTGCGAATGCCAAACCCACATTTTAAATACACTTTCAGGCACTCCTCGGGAGCTCTGCGCTTGCTGCCACTGCACTTGCTGCCGCTTGAGCTCTGTGCTTGCTGGCCACCGCCGCACTCCCACTGTTGCCACCAGAGCTGTGCCCCCCCCACCAGCCACCAAGGACACTACATTCATGACTGCAGACTGCATTCATGAACACAGTGCCTTATTTGCAGATTTCGCCATTCACGAATGGCGAGGGTCGCCTGTACCTGACACACGGACTTCTCCTTTCTTTAGAGCTAAGACCACGGTAGCTTTTAACTGGCTGTGGAACTAAAACGGTTGGGGATTTTTTTCAATTACTCCCTTGAGTGGTTGAGCTAGTGGTTATCACTAGAGATCCATTGATATGTAGTCGGAACATGTAACAATATTAATTTTACTGAGGAAGGCAGACAACTAATGTGTTATCACAAGATTATTTATGAAATGTTTCTCGCTAAAATGTGTGTACTAGGTGAATAGTGTTATTTTGCCTGAAATTACTTCTTGTATGTCAAAGGTCTCAGAGAGAAAGAGAAGAGCATGCAAATTGAATTAGGCAACTCCACAGTAAAGCGCATGTCAGGATGTGCCCAGTTACTGCACACAGGCAGTGGGGAGGCCATTTGCACTCTTCTTTGGAGAAACCGGCTTTGGCCACTGCAAGAGACAGACACTAAGGCTGCGTCCCCATGAGCTGGAACATGCATTTCCCCAGGGACGTGCGCTGTGGCACACAGCATGTTGCCTTGGGTGAAGTAGAAGAGGGATGGTCCCAGCAGGCTTACCTGTGTCCTGAGGGCCTCTGGGGGCTGCAGCCATGGCAGTTCAGCAGTGTGGAGCCTGGACAGCATCCAGAGCATGACCCAGGTGGCCAGGCTCCAGTTACCGGAGGTACACACTGCCACCATGTGCACCGCACCGCTTTTTAAAGAAGGCACAGTTTTTTTGGCACTGGGATCTCCCAGTGTCAATGCCCCTCCCCCCGCACCCCTCCGACTCCCCCTCCTCCACACTGCAAATGAGCAGTGCGGGGAATGCCTGCATATGCAGCCTGTAAGGTGTGTGGTGCTGCAGATGGGTCTGTAGCGCCACATACCACACGTCCACACTCATCTGGACATGCCCTAATTGAACTCTTCCAATATGTTACAGCATGGCAGAACTTCTCAAGGGTGGGGAGGAATCAGCTTGTTGGTTTGGGTGGTCTCTTGTGGTACATTATAATCTTGATACTCCAAACTTTTCCTCTTGCATGCAGAGGTCTGCGCTCTAGGTTACAGATCCTGTGCTTGTACACCTCTTACAATGAGGTCTCAGTTTTGACTGGGGACTTTATCATCACTGTATCCTAAAGAAATAATTTTAATTATAGATAGAGTTCTGAAAAGAATGAACAAATTCCATTGGTGAGATACTGAAATCCAAAACTATGCAAACAATATTTTAAAAGACCCTAACCTTTCTTAGAGGTTGATTTAAATCACCCTGTTACACACTGACCGACTTGCTCTGGTTTACTACCACAAAAGAGGGAAAGAAAAAGAAAAGTGTTAAAACACTGTTCTGAGAATTGGTGAAAATAGATGAATCAATCACAGGAGGAAAAAAAGATTTCCATCCAATCCAAATTGTTCAGATGTCACCATTTTTTTTTTTTATGAGTAAAAAATTATCACAGGTGGGAGCAGGGCCAGAGGTGCCTCTGTACCAGTATCCTAAACTGTGCCTGTAAATGTCCCCAAAGGCTAAGAAGCCTCCACCGGTTTGCCTCCAGTGGGTGTGATGAATAGTGTCTGATGGAAAGCTGGATCACTTGACTCTACCCCTGCTATTGGCTTTTAAACCAGACAAATAGGGGAACGCAAGTGAAGAGAGGATGCACTTGGGCATGAGCGAGGTTTGGAGGCAAGACAAAGGAGGGGCGAAAGAGACCACATGCAAACAGAAGAAGATTTCAGCACTTTAGCTGGAAATCGATTTCTTTCCCTTGCAAGAAAATAAAAACAAAAAAAGGGGAGCTGGTGGTTTGGAAAGGCTTGTGGTGTTAAAGCGCCACCTTCAGCCTGCGGGAAGCAGAGAGCAGACTCCCAGAGGATACACCAGGTTCCTAGGACATGAACTCGCCCAGCATGACTGCACAAGGCAATGGGAAATCATCTCCCCAGGTTCACATCCACTATTGCATATTCTCCAGGAAAGAAAAAAGGAAAAGAAATCTGCGGGCTCTCCGCCGAGGAGGGGAGGGCGAACGCATTCATGGCCCCTGCCACTCGCTTCATTTTTTTTTATTTTTTATTTTGCCAGATGTAGATGCAGACGAAGCTCCCAGCCCAGCACCTCCCCCCCCGTCAGCCAGCCGGGCGAAGGGGGTGTGTGCGCGCATGGGGTGAGTTAATAAAGGCAGAGAGGAGGAGCCAGTGGGAGGCGGCCGAGGCAGGCCATTGGCTGGCGGGGGGAGTGATGTCACCCATATGAAACCCTGATAACTAGTTCGGAGGAGAACCTGCAACTTTTGGAGAAGGGGCAGCGCGAGGCGGCGGAGCTCGGGCCGGCTGCTGCGCGGGGGGAGGGACGAGCGGAGCGGGAGCAGCGGGCGGGACGCGGG